GCCCGGCAGGAAGCCCCGGGATAGGCGGCAGAGCCCGCGGGACCCGGCGGGACCCGGGGCAGGGGGGAGCCCGCAGCCTCCCCCGATGGAGACTCTCTAAGAGGGATGCTGCCGTTTGCCTTCACAGCGGCTAACTAATAATCAGGGAGGGGGAGTGAGGTGGATTAGCTTCTACGAGCAGGCGTGGGACAACATGTGGGATCTGCGCCTCCTTGCAGTGTCCGCGCAGAGTGCGCGGGGGGAGCACCGCGACCCGCGGGCCCTGTCCCTTGCGCATCTTCACCCGCCGCTGTTAAACCCGCGGCACCGACAGCGGTGCCGGGGCCGTGGCTCGGCGCGCACCCAGCAGCGCACAGCCGCGTCCTTCCCGGCCTCCTCGCCCTGCCTCTGCAGCTAAAATAATAAAGGAAACGCCATGAAAGTTTACCTGCCGCTGGGAAGACCGAGCCCGTTGTTTTCCCTGTGACAACTTAGGCTTCGGTATTTCCTTCCCCCCGCGGTATTAAAGGTTACCACAAGCATCGCCCATCTTAAAACGCTGTTTTAAAATTCTAAGGGTAAATGCTATAACAAAATCAGTTAAAACAGGTCGTTAGGAGAGTAACCAAATATAATTTCATGTTCTCCTTAAATTCTTTAACCAAAGCCGCCGGGTTTTGTTATTAGTGAAATTACTTCAGTTTTCACAAACTACCTTCAAACAAATCCCCTTTAACGTGTAAGTCTATTTGTTACAGAAATTCACATGTAACGTAAGAGCCAAAGGTTTACTGACTATCTCTACCGATATTAAAGACCGTCTAAGTTTTCCGGATCTGCCGCCCCGTACGAGCACAGGCACAAAACCGACCCACTCTCGGGCGGCATTTGCGAGCGTAGCCCCTGCCCGTGCCGGGGACACGCGGTGCCCCCGCTGCCCCCGCCGGCCCCGACCCTTGCTTCCCGTCTGTGCCCCCTCTCCGACAGCACCGGGGCTCCCCGCACTCACCCCGTACCCGCAGGGGCCTTGGGGAGCCGCGGGGAGGGGGGGGATGGGGATCAAGGCTGCCGCTGGATTTGTTGATTTCTGTGAGGGACCGACACCGGAGGTTGGTCCCTTTCAGCTCCGGCTCTAAGACCGACAAGTACGTGCAGTCTTTGTCCAGCCTAAGCCGAGTATTTAATTTCCCGCGAAAACTAGACCTTTCTTGGCACAAACAGAACGAACCTTTCCCTCAGCGGACGGTTTTTCGAACTAGTGAGAAGTTTGGGTTTTTTTGTTTGTTTGGGGTATTTTTCCCCTTTTCTTTTCTTGAAATAATCTAGCTTGATAAACCTTCTTGAAAGAGAAAGACGTTTTCTTGATCGCCTAGGTCTGCCTTATTCCACCTGGGAGGAAGAACTGCCGCAGTCCTTCCAAATCTTTGCCTCTCTCTTACTTCCCACCGGTGAGACAAGACCCCTTGACCACCAGCGCATCCGCCCT